AGTCATTTAGCAGACGCTTTTATCCAAAGCGACTTACAAATGAGGACAAGGAAGCAATTTACACAACTAAGAGCAACAATGAATAAGTACTAAAGGCAAGTTTCAGGTCTGTAAAGTCTAAGAAGGGAAGTGTTAGTAGTTTTTTTTTTTTTTTTAAAGCCATTATAAAATACATTTTTGCATAATAGGTGCCCTTTAAAGCACATCCTTTTTTGTCAAAACTATCTTTAAACCATATTTTGCACTTGATATTTTGTCATGAATTCAGTGACATTCATATACTGTATACATATTTTAAGTGTTGCTAAAGCTGTTCAAAGTGTGACTAAATTCCTTTAGAGGCAACAAAGTTGAGACCTTATAGATATAGACACTAAGTCGTGAATATCACAAGCTCTGCCAAGATTTCAGCTTTCTTCAGCTTATTCATGGTGAATTTTTTTTTTTCCTTTTAAGAGATCACGGCAGTCAAACCTAGCCTTTGTCACATCGATTAGCACAGCGCCAAGTTTAAAGCCTCATTAGTTTGAGTGGCCTTTGAACTGCAGGGACCAGAGGACACAAGGGTCCAGTGTTATGCGGGTGGCCTCTTCATTTTGGGCATGTAAGCCGAGTTACAAATCATATCAGACTTATCTGAGAAAAAGTTACAGAATTACTAGAGAATTATTGAGAAATATTCAATTGAGACTTTCATAATGTGAACATGGAGGAAATCAGCGACGAGATTTAATTAGGATTTACTTGCACTGTAAAACGCTAAACAAACAGCAGTTGTGGTTTCCAGAACTTTACCATTAAAAAATACGGTATAAGCCATAAAATAATTTTATACACTTTTTCATCTCTTTGACTCTTTAACTGACACTTGCACCAGTTTTGCACATTTGAGCCAGACACGTTTTACAATCACTCAATGTTTAGTTATAAAAACACATTACATAGGTTTCCATATATTTTATACTGTCCAAACCGTATATTGTATTGCCCCCACCCTACCCCTAACCCCAACCATCACAGGCGTCAGTTTACAGTTTTACTTTCTGATTAAACACATCCTGTGTGATTTTTGAACTTTTTGAGAAATGAGGACGCCATCAATGTCCTCATATTTCACCTCCTTTTTGTAATACCTGTGTCATTATACAGATTTGTTCCCTGATATGTCACAAAAACATGTGTACACACACACACAAACACACACACACACACACACACACACACACACACACACAAAACAACAAAAAAAGTTAAGTTTCCCATCATTTTTTAAAATATGTAATAATAATAATAGTATAAAGACAGCAGGTGTGATGAATTTAGGTTTTATTTGGTAGAAACCATTTTTACTAGTTTCAAACTACTAAGAGTGGCAATAAAAGTCACTTTATTAAATTTTTCAACATCAGTTGTTGTCTTGTAATCCAATTAAAGCAAATGCACAAAAAAAAAATCAATGTATCACAAAAAGTGAATTAATATTAACAGATATTTTACAGTATAGATATTTAAATAAAGATTCAGCAAGCTTCATTAGCGCCCGCTCTGCATTTAAGACTTAGGGTGTAAAATATTTAATACAGCAAGCATACGAAACAACTTTTTTCAGTGCCTGTTATCTACTGAAAAAAAATACCACAAAGTTCAGGTTGTTCCTGTTATGTAACTAACAAACAAGAATTCTCTCCACCACAAACTGTCAAAATACTCACCCTATAAGACCCCTTTTAACTGTACAAATATACAGCTTAATAGCATAAAGCACACTGCAATTAAATCAGTGAAATTCTGGAAAAATTGACAGAACTGAAGCTGGATATAAAAAGCTCAGCGTGAGTGTGACTCAGTCGCCACCTTATGGACTGAATCATGCAGTAATCTTTGTACAGGCTCCTTAGCTGTCTTTTCTGTTCTAAAGGCTTAGCAATTGAATGGACATAATCCTTAAGTAAAAGCTTTTGATTTCACTCACAATGAGCTTTGCTACAAATATTCTTCTTGGCAAAGAATTTAGTCTCTTTAGTTAAGATGTAGGCATGACATATAGACTGTCAGGAACTTTGTTTTGATGGTTTCCATTGCAATAAATGTGTACTTACTGAACATATATTTTTATTCTTTGTTCATATATATATATATATATATATATATATATATATATATATATATATATATATATATATATATATATATATATATATATATATATGTAATACTATTGTGACATATTTGTACTATTTTGTAAGTATTTTTAATAAATGGTTTGCATGATTTGTGATTCACACTATTGTTATTACTATTAATAAATCTATATAGATTAATGAGTTTCTGTGGGACTTAAGAAGGTCTTAAAGCCATAATTCACCCCTCCATAATTATGTTATTGAGTTATTACATCCATATCACTGCATTTTATATAGCATTGCACTAAACAAATAAAATTTTTAAAAATCTACTCAAATGAATACAATAAATCAATAACCTGCGTTATTTTGCATTAGATACATTTACTTGAGATGAAAAATAAATGTTTTTTTCTGATAAAATTACTATGTACTATGTGATTATGTCAAAGGTGTTACGAAAATTTATTCTCCATTCAAATTGAGTTTATTTGTGTTAAACATATTGATAAATACTTGTTTGTTCATAAACAGTGTTGGGGAAAGTTACTTTAGAAAGTAATTCATTACAATATTGATTTACTCCCTAAAAAAGATACTAGTTATGTTATTTAGTCTTTGTGGTAAGTAATGCATTACGTTACATTTGAGTTACTTTTGTGTTACTTTTTCTGACCTGACTGAGGCTTAATCTGTTTCAGAACTTACAAGGGAGCAAGTTCATTTAGTTCATTTTTTTTTAATTATATAAGATAATGTTATACTTAGTTCAGTGATTAATTAATTAAATTGTTCACCTTTAATGGATAGGACAGTATTGACCTGGTGAGCAAAGAGACGGGAACAATCGGCATAGGACCTCGAGGCGGAAATCAAACTCCATGAGCAACAAAGTGCTTGTGTCAACGCACTAACCTCTACATTGGTGTAAAAGCGAATTGACTAAACTAAAAAGTAACACTATTTACATTTTTTAAAAAGTAACTTGTTACTTGTTACTTTGAAAGGTAATGTCATTACGTAACTCACATTACTTGTAATGCGTTACCCCAACACTGGCATTAATCATTCAATTTTGATAAAATGTATAGAAAACACTGCTTCTCATGCCATGTCATTTTAGTTCTCAAGTAAATCTTTCTTGATTTAAGAATCTTTAGGCATTTGCATAAAAATGATTAAATATTAAATAAATTAAGGTTAAAAGATTATTTGATATTCAAGACTTATTCAAAAAGAAATTAAAATTTTGAAAGTTATATTTTTCCAATGTTAAAGTGTTGCTTATATATTTTTTGCACCTACAAGTTCACATTTAGAGAACATTTTCATAAATTTCCTTTTAAAATCAATCATAGGAAACATTTTCTTTCATTCGTCTTAAAAAGTCTAAGATTTACTTTTATAAACCCTGTAGAAACCATGCTCATGAAGCAACATTTCTTGCGTTTAAAGAACACATTAAGTTGCATTGCCACACTTCTACAGTACAATGATGCAGACTTTATCATCAGAAGTGAATATAGAACATTAAGACAGCACACACCCATAATCTCTGAAAATGGCAAAGCAATTAAAGATACACTTAACATGTTTCAAGACAAACAAAGTTCCAAAGAGATCACAAAAGTCACACAAAGATCATGAGCTGAATCTTCAGATTCTTCAAACACACAGGCTCCTGATTCCAGAATACAATTGAGTATCATCAAACACTTGTAAAAACAGGAAAGTGTTTTAATGTGGGGGTGTTGTCCTTTGTTTGACATCTCATTTGCTGATGATTCATTAACTGTCAGGAATTATTGCTAAATATTAGTGACTTCTGCATTTTATTTAGCTTCAGACAGTTTTTTTTTAAAGAGTATATGTTATGTAATAACAGAGGTTTTTGATTTGTTTCTACTGTTGTCACAACTTTACAAGAGTGTGTTACAAGTTAAGGCCCGTTCACAACAATTACAATAATTATATAGATAATGATACTCCTCTTAATATTCTTTCAATGCTTAAAATCATTGCATTCATTACCCTTCCCCACTTTTAAAGTTAAACATCTATCAAGCATGGGGTAACAAGATGGCTTAGTGGTTAGCACTGTTGCCTCACAGCAAGAAGGTTGCTGGTTCGAGTCCCAGCTGGGTCAGTTGGCATTTCTGTGTGGAGTTTGCATGTTCCCCCCGTGTTCGGGCTGTAGTGTATGTGTGTGAATGAGCGAGTAGGTTGTTTCCCAGTACTCAGTTGAAGCTGGAAGGGCATCCACTGTGTAAAACATGCTGGATAAGGTGTTGGTGCAATCTGCTGTGGCGACCCCTGATGAAAAAAAGGACTAAAGCCGAAGGAAAATAAATGAATTGATGAATGAATGAATGAATCCACCGAGCACTGATGAACACATTGATGTTAAAACAATTTAATCGAATAATTTCACCGCAAATGTAAGGTGAACTATCCCTTTAAGAATGAGGCAGATTTGTCAAAACAGAAGTAGATGGAGTCAGTATTTACAATGTAAATATATATATTTACATATCTAACGAGTGAATCACTAATAAGTAAGGGAAACCAACGTCACCGCAGGAAAAATCCCTACAGAATATCATTTTAAGAGTTGACAACTCGGAGGACGACGCTGCATATTTCCCAAACTGGCGACATCGTTTTGATGCGAGTTTCGTTGAAAGTATACTCGATGTCTGTTTATGCTTCATCGCTAATCATCATGACGAACCGTCACATACTAAACACTGAAACTATCAGGCTAGATGGCTTCGTCAGGTCTCGTCATTTTCAGACATTTACACGCCCATGGCTGTAGTTGTGATTTCGTAATGGGGTGTGACGTGTGTTAGTTAGTAAGTATTTAACTTCTGTAAACCAGGGCAGAAGAACACAAACATAGGCTACTTGTCATGATGTGGACTGCTCTTCTGCTGGTGGGACTCTCTATTCTGGTAATAGTACTGTACGGGAGACGAACAAGGTGAGCCCGACCTGTCTGACGAGCTTTCTGATATGAAAGACGACACTTTCAGTGAGAACTGAACTTTAAAAACACGCACTTATAATATTCACGCATTTAATATCAATTTTGCAGACGAAGAAATGAACCGCCACTTGATAAAGGAATGATTCCTTGGCTTGGTCACGCGCTCGAGTTTGGAAAAGATGCTGCCAAATTTCTGACACGGATGAAAGAGAAGCACGGAGACATTTTTACAGTGAGTTCTAAGGTCATGTTATTATGTTTTGATGCAGTGACATAATGCTAGAGTAGTTGTTCGACATAAAGTGAAGCTGACATAAGGAGAATCATGCGTAGCTTTGGTGCAGTGAAAAGGCTGTGTTTCCTTCTTCTTGTTGTTTCGGCATTTTTAGTTTGAGTTTTTAAATAGTTAGAATATTTCGTATAGTCACTCAACTAACAAAACGTCACATAATGTGTTTAAAATGATAGTTCTAGCAACATAGTTTAAATGTACCCTACTGTATCTGTATTTACAATACATTTAAGGAAATACTGCGAAACAATGACATGTGTTTTGTATGTTTTAGAGTTACCCTATAAGCACTTATTGTCAATTTATTATACCGTACAATACTGTTTTTGCAATTTTAAAATGAAGCTCTTCTACATTTACTGCATAATAATGCATAATTTAGTCTAGTTGTTATAGTAGTACACACGTGTAATGTGTAACAAAAAGACTGTAAGTGTTTTAGTAGAACATGTTAAATAAAAGTAATGAATTTCCCAATCAACTACCACAGTTATTGCATAAAGATTATGAATAATATAGTTTTTTATAATGATTTTATAATTATAATTTTTATAATGAATAATGTTTGCATGAACGCTTTTCTGCTTTCTTTCCTCCACACATAACACCAGAAAGTAAAGCTTACACAATTGTATGTCTTGTGATTGTAATTGTTATTGTACAGTGCTCAGCATGTATGAGTTCACCCCGCACAGATCTCTCATTTAAATTAATATTTTCTATAGGATGCTTTACAATATTATATTAGTGCATATATATTAGTTTAGTCAGTACTTAAGCCAAATCTTGAGCTTATCTGACAAAATAACCTACAATAATGGATCAAAAATGTGTAGCCCAAATTTAAAGTGAGGGAAATAATTAAATAAAAACTTAAAATAAAGCAAAAAATCAAAAGCAACAAAAAATGTGTGAAGTTTTATTGAAATGTTGTAGTTTGTCATTATTTTGCAATACTTTGCATGAATTTAAATGTATTATTTTTAATTTCTAAAAATGTTCTATGACTAAAATATTATTTTATTAAATATATCTGTTTAATACATCTGTTTTATTCAAATGCAGCAAAATATATGACCCATATTCACTAAGAAAAAGATTAAAATATTAATTTTTAAAATGGGGTGTGCTTATTTATGCTGAGCACTGTATTACTACAGTATATAACATTACATTTTACAAATGCAACTTCTCATGTGGCTGATTATGGGGTTGATAGGTCTGCAGAATCTTAATTACCAAATGTAACATTTTGTTGCAAATATAAACAGTAAATTAGAAGCTATTAAAGATCCATGTATTTTACACATTATAATATTTATTTATTCATTCATTTTCTATTCGGCTTATTCCCCTTATTAATCTGGGGTCGCCACAGCTGAATGAACTGCCAACTTATCCAGCTGCAACCCATCTCTGTGAAAAACCCATACACACTCATTCACACTCATACACTACAGACAATTTAGCCTACCCAATTCACCTGTAACGCATGTCTTTGGACTGTGGGAGAAACCCCCCACAGAACATCCAGAGAAAACCCACGCGAACGCAGGGAGAACATGCAAACTCCACACAGAAATGCCAACTGACCCAGCTGAGGCTCGAACCAGCGACTTTCTTGCTGTGAGGCGACAGCACTACCTACTGAGCCACCGCATCATCCCCATTCTAATAAAGACAACAGAACAATAAGAAGCTGCTCTTATGTTGAATGTCAGGGCACTTTGGGCACACACACCTTGCAATGTTTTTAAATTGACATGAGCATTTAACTTTAACTATAACTATGAATAGGCGAAACATGACTCACTTCCGTAAAATGCTGTGATTAACAGTGTCGTAACCAACGTTCCGGTTTCATGTGTATTTAGGCATCTGCTATTTTTGAAGTATTATTACAGCAACCAAAGGCTCATCATGGTCTGTGATTTTTCAACAAAGGTGTCCTGTTTGTGTTATGTTTGGAAGGCAGCTTCACAGTGCACACCATTGCAGAAGTTCACGTACAGTGTCATATGCTTATTAGGTGTATGTGGTCTTAAGTGATCCAGATTATAGATTTAATACAGAATGTAGATGCAGGTTGTGATATTTTGGTATGTGGACTATAGGCATGAGCTGATTTTATAGACTAATTTTTTGACTATAGACCTGATAAGCAACTTTATAGACACAGTTAAGTCAGAATTCAGCAGCAAGGATAATTACCTGCTCGCATGCTTCTGATTCCCTTTCACCTGCACTGGCTCCCGGTTCACTATCCTATACAATACCAAATCTTTCTCTTAATATACAAAGCTCATAACTTGGCACCTCACTACCTTTCTGGTCTTCTTCATTTGTACACTCCTTTGAGCTCACTGAGATTATCTTCTGCTGCATTGTTATCTGTTACAAACTTTAAGATGAAGTCATTTGGTGGCAGGGCTTCTAGTTGAATGGAACTCCCTGCCTTTGCACATACGCCAGGTGGACGCCATTTCCAATTTTAAATCTCAGATAGCAACTTTTTTTGTTTAGGATAGCTTTAAATGATTTGCCGGTTTAATATAATGTTGATAGTTTTTTTACTGCTCTTATTTTTATAAGGTGCTTGCGATATGCTGTAAGGTGTCCTTGAAAGGCGCCTATAAATAAAAGGTATTATTATTACTTACCGGTTTTAAGTTTTACCGCAGTTTGGATTTAAGAAAGTTTTTGGATTTAAGAAGGTTTTAATACCACTAAAATCATCTGTTATACCATTCCTAAGGTATATGAAAGGGTTTTTTAATGTGTTTTTAAATGTGTTGTCATGAAATCTGTGTTTTTGGAACTAATGAAGACAGCAGAAGTCAATGATTTATTTTATTTATTTAGCCTGACATGTTTACTGTTCCAAAATTTTATAAATGTTTCCTAAAATAAAATGTATTTTGTTCAATGGGGATTTTTTTCCCCAGACATTTAAAAAGAACTTATTTTAGAGCACTAATCACACATAAAATATTTATCCAAGGTTATTATACCATCAGAAACATATACCGGCCCATGCTTAGCAGATTATTTATTTCCAAGATTAAGGATTAGTTTTAAATATATTATAGGCTTGCTCTTGTTTGCGGCTGTTTTTTTTTTTTTAATTATTATTATTTTCTAGGAAGATTGAGAAAAACAAATGAGTCAAGCTCATACCTCGTTCCCTGTCATCATCTTCCAGAATATCTTGGGTGCTTATTTACTGTAAATGCTTCAATAACAACTGGCTGTTCAACTCCGTTCTAAACACACTGGACATATTTTTCACAAATGTGTTCAATACTTGCACTTTTCAGGAGTTAATTGGGTTGTTGAATGCACGTTGACACTCCCATAAATTATTGAACAGTGTGTGTACAGAACAGGATTAAGCACTTAAAGATGAACTGACAATCAAATATACTTGTGTACGTGCCCTAGATGCCTCTCACTTTGAAGCGTCTGTCAGTCAAAAGTCTCACGGCCTTTCCCATAACCTGTACTCAGATTGCTGTTTTCTTAGAAATCTTTTTAACTGAGTATTAGAGCTTCTTAGATAACAATCTTGAGCTCTCGCAGCATCTCCTCTGTCAGCTTGTTTTTTTTTAGCACTAACCACACCAATCTAATTTGATTCAGGTGCGTGCAGCTGGACTATATATCACCGTTCTGCTGGACTCAAACTGCTATGATGCCGTTCTGTCAGATGTGGCATCTCTTGACCAGACCAGCTATGCTCAGGTTCTCATGAAGAGAATCTTCAACATGATTCTGCCCAGTCACAACCCTGAATCTGAGAAGAAACGAGCAGAGATGTATGTTGCTGATAACATCTACACTGAAAAAAAAAGATGTCTGCAAAATTGTTGCAAATAAATTTAAACAAACAAATTGAATTTAGTAATGTTCAACCTAATTTGTTTGTTTAAATTCAACCCCCCAAAAATTGTTTACAACCACTTAACTTAAAAAAATTGTAAATCCAAGGAATCTTCTTTGAATGTGTTAGAGTATGTCTGTCTTGATGAGTTCAGATGTTAAATATTTATTTCAAAGATGAAATAATAATGTACTTAATGTGTTTGATTAGGCATTTTCAAGGGGCCTCTTTGACTCAACTATCCAACTCAATGCAGAACAACCTCCGCCTGCTTATGACCCCTTCAGAAATGGGTCTCAAAACATCTGAGTGGAAAAAAGATGGACTGTTCAATCTTTGCTACAGCTTGCTCTTCAAGTAAGCCAACCTCTAAAATCAACATACCAGTAACCAACGAAGATTATACACGCTTTTCATCTCACCACATGCCTTTCGAAACTATTGACAGGTTACAGCTTTGCACATCTAGCTGAACCACAGCTGCAAGCAGAATTTCAATACTCAGGCTGTTATTATCATGTTTAGCAAACACTGTACAATCTAAACTTTCATTCGTCATTTAGTCTGCAATAAAACCTAATGGCCACTTCCTGACAACTAGGAGTGTTATGGATCACGGTTGATCATTATTTCATATAGATCACAACCCACGGTTCAGAACACATGTGACCCACGGATTAATACATTTTTTTACTGGTAGATTACTGCAAAATTTGTGATGATAACAGAGAGATCGCCTCTCGAATCATTCAAATCACATGTATTAAAGCATTTAGGCTGTCCTGTAAAATATAATGATGATGGAAGAAGTTGTGGTTAGGTTATTCAGGATGTGGTGGGTTTCTAAGGTTATTAAAGGTGTTTTCTATCACTATACTTGTTTAGCCTGCATCAGTGCATTCGGTGTAGGCTGCAAGATTAATCACTGAAAGATCGAGATCTCAACACCCACGCAACATAAATTATAAATGATTGTGATTTGCATATATGTATTAATCTTTCGAATCTCTGCACTCAAATCTGAAAATGCAAAAATCAAGAAAGCGATTGAGTCATTAGCCTTTTGAGTTAGTCCTGAAGTTAAAACAGTCAAATAACACAGAAGTACTGGAATAACAGTTTATAGTTTAGATTTAACCACTGACGTTTATGGTAAATATTAAAACCACCGTCATATGGGTTTAACGACGCTCAAAAATGAAAGTTTTAGGCAGCAACTACATTAACGAATAGGTGGAGACAACCAGCCATCAGAAATATGGCATTGATTAATTCTGCAAAAATGACACAACTAACATGAAGTTTTATGAATGAAAATGAGACTAAAAATAAATAAATTAAAATGTTAGATTTATATATTGTTATCAGCAACAGTAGTTACAGTAATATATTTTACAATTAATTTTAAATCAGCTGATTCTTCATTTTGTTTTTAAAGAGCCCCTATTTTCCATTAAAAAGGTTTTGGTTTTGGGGGTCTTCGACAACATGCTGATAGGCGTGCAAGGTCAAAAAAACACTTTCATTGTCTTATAAAATGCATTTTTTTAAACATAAAAAATTATATTTTTATTTATTACTTACATTTATGAATAGAATTTTTTATATATATATATATATATAGACTTTTTCTGATTAAAAAAAAATCCAAATAAACTCCTATTTCTCATGTCATCACACGGACCTGCTTGAGCAACACTGGAATACATTACATCCGGTCGGCCGGTCGCATAGGATCTAGTTGCAGGAGTTCAAATATTTCAACGGATCCGCAGCTCAATTCGGATCCGAATTTTTTGCATACATGAAAATATTGGATGATTGGAACTCCACGCAGCTCCCGGACCACTCTCCATTGGAGATGAATGACTTCCGGTCTGTCGCTTGTCGTTTGTCTTGTGCGGTGGAAAGGAGGCTTTAGATTTAAACCTCAGCTGGATGTTTTCATTTACTTAGAGCTCTGTTACATATTGCATGGAAGGTCATTTTCTAAAACCCATAATAGTCACTCTTTACTAAAATTACAGTTTATAAGTTCAGTTTGCTAAAACCAAATGTTTCTTGCAGTACTGTTTTTGTAATAAATGAAAAGCAAATTACACTTGTCTCTTTCCCTTTGAGCTGATCCGAAAATGGTCTGATCCACAACTAAAAAAAAGCATTTTGTGATCCGAACCATGAGATTTGTGATCTGTTACGCCACTATGACAACCATATTATAATTACATTTTCTTTTCGGCTTAGTCACTTTATTAATCTGGGGTCGCCACAGTGGAATGAACCACCAACTTATCCAGCATGTTTTAGGCAGTGGATGCCCTTCCAGCAGCAACCCACCTCAGGCAAACATCCATACACATTCATTCACACACATACACTACGGACAATTCAGCTCACCCAATTCACCTATAGTTCATGTCTTTGGGGGAAACCGGAGCACCCGGGGACTAGGGAGAACTCCACACAGAAATGCCCAACTAACCCAGCCTAGGCTCGAACCAGTGACCTTCTTGCTGTCAGACGAATGTGCTACACACTGCGCCACTGTGTTGCCTCATATCATAATTTACAGTTATTATTAGAGCAGGTTCTTAAAGTTTAAACCTCACTTAATTTTCTGTTAAGCAACAGACCATCATGAAGAGCTTACGTATGCACTGCTTGACTATTAATACTTGATTCGAAATGTATTCTGTAGCTAAAAGCATCGACTGTCCCACCCAAAAGCTGCCATGATAATAATCACTCTGTATTGTACAGATAAGTCATGTTGTCAAGCCTCCCCAAGATGTGGAAGTTATCTCACGTTCATCTTCAGGACAGGCAGTTGGTGTTTTGCGTCAGTGGTGAAATTAAAAGCTTAAATGTTCCACTGATAGTCTTGAAAAACTTGATTCACTTTAACAGGGTTAAGGGCAACTTCTTAAGTTTTTTATTGCTTTTTTATGCTATGTGACTTTATTTCTACAGGACTGGCTATCTGACAGTGTTTGGCGCAGAGAATAACGATAGTGCAGCTCTAACCCAAATTTACGAGGAGTTTCGCCGGTTCGACAAGCTTTTGCCTAAACTTGCTCGAACTACAATCAACAAAGGTAATGATGTTTCAGTTGAAAAAATACCAAGAGAAACAAATGTTCATTCTTTCATTATTTTAACTTAATTTCATATTTAATTTCACCAAGTTGTCCATGTTTGCATTTAACAGAGGAGAAACAAATTGCAAGTGCAGCACGAGAAAAACTGTGGAAATGGCTGACTCCATCAGGTTTAGATAGAAAGCCAAGAGAGCAGTCATGGTTGGGAAGCTACGTAAAGCAACTTCAAGATGAAGGCATTGATGCTGAGATGCAGAGGAGAGCGATGCTGCTGCAACTCTGGGTCACACAGGTCAGTTCCTCCATGTCTATCATTGTGCATCACTGATTTATTACAGTACAGTTCGGTTTGGATCAGCCCGATCAAGCTTGTATTTCCACTTCCAACAGTACCTTTACTTGGTTGCTGAAGTATATACCAAAAAAAGTAAAGATCAACATCATTTTTAGCTTGAAGAAGAAAGCCTCATGGCCTATTCACATATGCTTATTGCTTATGCAAGTTCAACTTCTTTTTATCAAATGTAGATAAGTGTCAAATGTGAGGAATTGGTTTTTAGATGAGACACGTGAACGGCCCCAAGGACGTTCAGCAGATAGTGTTCTTGCAACTTGGCGTGTGTTTTTTTGTTAAAAAAAGACGACAAGGTTTGTTTGAGATCAGGTCGACCATGGGTTATTGCTGGGTCTCGTCATTGTATCATTACAGGGTTGTGTTTCCGCTGTGTATTTAAAAATGGTGTTTCCTGTGTTTTCATTCCCTTGAGTTGTTGCACACATAAGTATTAATTCTCTGGTCTAGCTCTAATTTTATGGTACTGTACTGTTGTGCTATGTAACCTTAGTAAAAGTGTCAAAGAAGGTGTTGTTTTGGTACCTCTGACAGTGGAAAAGGAAGTAAACAATGCATACTATACTGTACTGTACTCAGGGTGTGATTTGGGGGGGGGGAGGGTTGACCGCCTTAATTAACGTTCGATCCCCCTGAAGGACATCAAAACAAGATGTATGGGGGTCAGCAGTTTAAAAGTAAGAAAGAACTTTCTTTAATATCAGCTTTCTTACATAATAGTAATTAAAAATCTGTAATATAACGGTTCATACCACTGTGATGCATTCAATCGCACCAATCAAGGGTTAAAAAAAAATCATTCAACAGTCTGAAATTGGCACTGATTGACATCTTAGGTTTTCACAAAACAAATAGGCGTTTATATCTGCATGTAACCTAACAAAAAAGAAAAATACACAAACAACTTGTATTATTTGTATAGTTTGACCTGTAGTAACCTCTAAAATAGTCTCTAAATATCCCACAAAACACTGAAAACATTACATTTTATTAATAAATTAGATGTAATTTAAATGCATTCATAAATGTGATTCACTGAAGCATGTATTACCCATGTTATTACCAAACTGCTACAGAAAAAGTTGACCCCCCCCCCTCCCCCCTCCCCCCCCCCAAACAAGCTATTAATTGTCCTTTTAACATACTGACATTTAAATTGAATACACTGCAAAAATGATTGATCAGTGGCTGTTAAGTGAACTGCAGCCACTGAAAATGCTTTTTTTTATTATCTGATTATAAGCAAAAATAACTTGGAAAGACCTGTTATGCGATTAACTGATAATGAACATCCAGTCAGCGTTCACAAAGCTGAGGTCAAGCTTTAGATGAAAATGCAAATATCCTCACCTTATCAAAATTAAACAAAACAAACGTAGAGAGTAAGAAAACAACAGGTCTGATTGTAGAAATATGGATATGTTTCCATGTCAGCAGGGACATGAAAATACACTAAGTTATATAAGATTGAATAAGCTATCTGAGACTATATGCTAGATACAGTCACCGGCCACTTTATTAGGTACACCTGCAGCATCAGAACAGGGAAGAAAGGTATTTTAAGTGACTTTGAACGTGGCATGGTTGTTGGTGCCAGACGGGCTGGTCTGAAAATTTCAGAAACTGCTGATCTACTGGGATTGTCACACAAAAGCATCTCTAGGGTTTACAGAGAATGGTCCGAAAAGGTTAAAATATCCAGTGAGCGTCAGTTCTATGGGCGCAAATGCCTTGTTGATGCCAGAGGTCAGAGGAGAATGGCCAGACTGGTTTAAGCTGATAGAAAAGCAACAGTAACTCAAATAACCACCCGTTACAACTGACGTATGCAGAAGAGCATCTCTGAATGCACAACACATTACACCTTAAGCCTACAGCAGCAGAAGACCACACTTGGTGCCACTCTTATTAGCTAAGAACATGAAACTGAAGCTACAATTTGCACAGGCTCACCAAAATTGGGCAACAACATGATAGCATGGATCCATCCTGCCTTGTATCACCGGTTCAGGCTGCTGGTGGTGGTGTAATGGTGTGGGGGATATTTTCTTGGCACACTTTGGGTCTATTAGTACCAATTGAGCATTGTGTCAACACTACATCCTACCTGAGTATTGTTTCTGTCCATCCCTGTATGACCAAAGTGTACCAATCTTCTGATGGCTATTTTCAGCAGGATAACGCACCATGTCAAAAAGCACGAATCATCTCAGACTGGTTTCTTGAACATGACAATGAGTTCACCATCATGTCAACATGGACCAAAATCTCTGAGGAATATTTAGTATTTTGTTGAATCTATGCCATAAAGGATTAAGTCCGTTCTGAAGGCAAAAGGAGGTCCCAACCTGGTATTAGTTAGGTGTACCTAATAAAGTGGCCAGTGAGATTACATTTGATGGTTTTTTGGATAAGCCTGTTTACTTTAATAACAAACTGACATAACAGTACAAAACAGCTATTTTGGCATTACGTTGAACATTCTAAGGATTCATTTTATGTGTCAGAATAAAAAGAGCTTTTTTTTTAGCACATTAATGTCATATCTTTTTGATTTTCCATACAAAAACAAGCGTTAAAGCCTTCCTTTAAAATCAGTCTACACACTGTCTATTTGTCTACTTATCTGTCTGTCTGTCTGTCCATCTATCCATTTGTCTGTCTGTCTATCTATCCGTCTGTCTGTCTATTCGTCCGTAAACAACCTTGAAAGTCTAGAAACGGATTCATTTAGAATGACTTCTAAAATAAAGTATTTTATGAAATTATAAATGCATTTACTCTCACCTGATCAATTTAATGCATCCTTTCTAGGCTTTCCTAATAGATTTCTATCCAAAAAAAAGCCTATTATTTTGAATGGTCGTGTACCTCAGTTCTGTACTTTTTTACATAACAGGAAAGTGGATAATTTGTATTACCTGGCCCCAAAATAGACAAAAAACTAATTTGGCTTGAAAAGACTTCATGAATAGATACTTTTTATAGTGCTTTTTTATCCATTTAGGAGCTCTGCAGTAAAAAATAACCAGTTACTTTCCTTGTAGGAACATCTTTTGTTGCATTTGCATGGGTTTGAACTAAATGAACTACTCAGTAAAGCAAAAGTTCATTTTTATAAACATTATAAAGAGCTACTGCGTTCAAAAAAATGTCCTTTTGTCTGAAAGCATGCTTAATCATAATCAAAACTACACTGCTGACACACTAATACCTTGAGGTTGCCATAGGGATAGGCTGTTTTGCACTCCTGTGATCTTACTGTAAACAAAAGAGCCTGTCACTTCTGGAATGCAGGAGTGTGTGATTTCAGTTCCTGACTTCTCTCAGAGTACATGAACACAAAACCTGACAGGCTGCCCAAAGTACACCTGAGACGCCATAGCCCGAGGACAAACAACACACACTGAATGATTCTATTGTTACAGGAGGAAATTATGCAAAGGAGGTGTTGATGATTCATTTGAATCTACAACACAGTATGTGACAGAATTATGTGCACATTAGAGACGTACAAATTAAGCTTGTTAACACATTCATTTACACATGAAATATCTAAATAAACACCACAAGGAAAACATTCAAAGCTCATCCAACAATAATTCTAAGGTTTAAAAATATTAGGCAGAAGGTGATGTTACATCAAAAATAAGATTAAAAAGACAGATTAAAAGGTGGTTTATATATACAAATGGGAACAGAGTTAAATGGCTTTGGAATAAAAACTGTTCCTTCTCTTTAAGTTTGTGCATAGATCTAATTTTCAGAGCCAGCAGCAGGCAGCAATACTTTAATTTAGCCACATGGGAGCAGTATAACTGAAGAGAAAAGGCTTCACTGCATAATTATTAGTGTATGCCTGCTCATATTTACATCGGCTTGTTTGCACCTTACTAATACTACTAATGAATAATGTAATTTGCTGAGGAGTGTGCCGTTAATTTAGAAGTGTATGAATTTATGGTAACACTTTATTTTGACGGTCCATTTGAAAATTAGCTGACTGTCTGCTTAATATCTGTTGATACTGCTCCTTCAGCAGACATTTAACTGACTATAAGGTACATGTCAACTTACACTAACCCTAACCCCAACCTAACAGTCTACTTATGATCTATTGAGAATTGGTTGGCATGTAAATGTAATGTAACTTGAATTCAACAAACAGACCATCAAAATAAAGTCTGACCTAATTTATTTATGTATTTATTTATTTATTTATTTATATTATGCGATTGTGCTACCCATTGCACCACTGTGCTGCCCCTATTTATTTATTTATTTATTTATTTATTTAAGTAAGTAAAGTTGCATTAAATTGCTAAGTAAAAATTTAAATTATAAAGAAAAATAAATAAATTATGTTACTTAAAGAATAAACTAAAACCATAAAATCTAGAATATTAATGACTGTAATGAGGACATTGTGCTTGACAATGAGTAACAGTTGCAAAATAATTAGCTTAATATCATATTGCCTAATGTACATTGCTCAACATATGTGAGTACACCCCTCACAAATATCTCAATTAAACAATATTTCCATAAGATACTTTACAATGACATATGTGCATATACATTAGAGTAGTTAGTACCGTAGTAAAATCTGGAGCCAATTAAACAAAGAAACTTATGATAACAGTCCAAAATTACTACACCAAAATTTATGTTAGGGAAAAATAATAAATAACAATTTTAAAGAGCATAATGTAACAAAATAGTTTTATGAAAATTTGTTGAAATTTTGTAGTTTGTAATTTATTTATCCATGTTTATCCATTTATTAATTTAAATGTATTATCTATTTCTAAAGATGTCTGGCGACTAAAATATTATTTTAATAAATATATTTTTTTAATAAATCATTTTTTGTTCACCAAAATATATTAACTATATTCACTGAGAAATGGATAAAAATATTAAGTTTCAAAATGGGGTGTACTTAATTATGCTGAGCATGGTATATAATACCTAATGTTTTTAAAAATGCTAAACAAATTGTAATATTTTATAAATTGTAATATAATATAATGTATTAAAATTGTAATGATTTATATTTCAAAATATTACTACATATTACTTAGGTATGATAACCATTTTCAAGGTATACCGCGGTTTGGAAAAGTCAAGGTTTTAAAACCGGCAAAATTTTCTGCAATACTAAGGTATGAGTACAATTTTTTATTTAGGTGTTTTTTGTTGTTGTTGTTGTTGTTGTTGTTGTTTATTTTTTTGTTTTTAGGACAGCAGCATCTTTAGCAGAAAAAATAATATTTTTATCCAAGGTTATTATATATCTTATATCGGCCCATGCCTAATAATACTTTAATGAACATAAATGCTTGAAATGATACTATTTTTATGACAAAACTGCACCTTAGTGATTTATAATGCCCAGTAAAACATGAACCTAGATGCTTTATTAAACGTGTGCTGTAAAAAAAGACATGTCATGTCATATAAATCCAGCATGTGATGTCATTTTAAAATATGATGTATTGCGTGTATTGTAATAGTAACATAAGCACAGGGAATTTCCCCTCACAGGAAGCATTCGTTGTGCTTTATCATGATATCAGCAGGTTTACTGACAGACAGATTCACCTAACATAGTGTTCACCCCTCTCTGACCTTGTCTGTCAGCAAGGAATCCCCCTAAACCCCAGCGATTGCTGTATGACAGGTTTAACAGCGTTGCTGTACACACACTGACAGCACTGCTGATATAAAACCGCTTATGGAGAACCAATATGCTGCATGTTAAAGCTTATAAGAAACATCATAAATCTCACCATGAGTCAGGTCACTTTAGGCATTTAAATAAGTATGCTACAGGCTTTAAAGAGTAAAACTAGACATTCAGTGTGGATTTTTTTTTTTTGAAAGGGTTGAAAGTAATTCAAGGTATGCTTATGTCCTCAGGGAAACGCAGGCCCTGCTGCATTCTGGGTAATGGGCTACTTACTCACCCACCCTGAAGCTCTGAGGGCTGTAAGAGAGGAAATCCAAGGTGGAAAACACCTTCGTCTGGAAGAAAGACAGAAAAACACTCCAGTCTTTGGTAGGTCACTTCGGTGAGACGGTTACAATAAAACTCTTGTAATACAGCCACAGATATTTAATAAATATACTGACCACAATTAAGATGATCCTAACAGGTCCGCATAAAATAGAAAATGACAGACAGACGGACGGAGAGACACACAGATAAATAGATGTATGGACGGACAGACGGATAGATAGATAGAAGTGCATTAATTACAGGCTGACAGACAGACACATAGATGGACACACAGTAAGATAAGTAGAGATGGACAGACGGACAGTAAGACAGATAGATAATAGTGCATTAACTACGGATGGACGGACAAAAGAACAGATAGATGGATAGATACACAGACAGACGGATTGACGGACTGACAGATAGATATATGGATAAACGGACAGATTGACAGACAGACAGAAAGATATATGAATGGATAGACGGACGGACGGACAGACGGACAGACAGACAGATAAATAGATAGATAGAGAGGCAGACAGACAGGCAAATAGATGGACACACTGACAGATAAGTAGACAGATGGACAGACAAACATAGATAGATATATAGATAATAGTGCAAAAACTACAGATGGACAAACAAATGGACAGATAGATAGATAGAAAGACAAACAAACAGATAGAAAGATATATGGACAGACAGACAGACAGACAGACAGACAGACAGACAGACAGACAGACAGACAGACAGACAGACAGATAGATAGATAGATAGATAGATATATGGATGGACAGACAGACAGACAGAAGGACGGACGGACGGACTGATGGATAGATAGATGGAAACTAAATCCAATTTCACTAAAATGAAAGCAACTGTTGTGTTTTTACAGATAGTGTTCTTTGGGAGACGCTGCGTTTAACTGCAGCTGCCCTCATCACTAGGGATGTGACGCAGGACAAAAAGATTCGTTTAAGCAATGGGCAAGAATACCATCTCCGACGGGGCGATCGGCTGTGCGTTTTCCCCTTCATCAGCCCGCAAATGGACCCACAGATTCACCAACAGCCAGAGGTGCACTTTCATACTAAAATCAACCAGGCAGAAAGATGAGAATTACTTGGGGAGAAATCAATTCATTACCCAGAGAAGAGTTTAGAAAAATTTGAAATGTGTATTGATTTTCACTTTATAAAAATAGGTGCAATTTAAATAGACTCAGGCTCTAGCAGCTATAAGAGAAATACAAAAACGTTATTATCATCCACATTGGTAGCCATTAAGTGAACTGCAACCAGATGTTTTAAATTAAAATTATATATGGTGTTACAGTTTATAGTTTTTATGGTGTTTTTTTTTTTTTTTTTGTTGTTGTTCAGTAAGCTACTGTTTTTTGAAATACATCTTAATATAAAATAATGCAGTTTAAAGCGTTAAATTACAATATATATATATATATATATATATATATATATATATATATATATATATATATATATATATATATATTTATTTATTTATTTATATATTTATTTATTTTTTAATCAGACATGGTTGTATACATTGTCAACATTTTAACTTTTTAATCAAATGAAAAGATTGTTTTAACTTATTAACCTTTCGCTAAGACACACTCGAAAACACCCACATACCAATCGTCTGTCAAGTTTTCAAGCAAGGGAAACAAGCCTAAGCGTTGTGCATATGGATTGTGCAAATCTGATACCCAGTATCCTAAAAGTTTGGACGGGTTGGTGGAATTTATTTCCCTTTCCAAAACCTAAAACCCAAAGGGAGAAATGCCAGCGTGGATCAAGCTTTGTGAGGGGGGCTGAAAGAGCGAGTTAAGTTGGTTTTGTTTTCGATATTTCTGACACATTCAGTGATAGATGGCAATAACTCAAAATTATCTTACCCTAAAAAGATCTAAACTGTGTTTCCTACAAAAATACAAAGCAGGTTGTTTCCCAGCTGTCTTTTCTTTTTTTTTTTTTCGCTCAATATAATGAGCACTTCTCCATTTAAGCTCTCGCCATAGTAATCATACTAATAGCAGTCATATTTCCATCTGTTTCAAGCTATGTATATTTGCAATCCATATCAATAGAATATAATCGAGATGTGATCACAATCTGAGCACTTGCAATCAATATACTGTACTTCACCAGCAGCTGTTTTTCAGTCATTTATAACCCTCATGTCCATGGCAGAACTACGATTCACAATGTTTTTGTCAGTCTTTTGTAGTTTTAATCATTGAGAACAACGTTATAGCGGGTTAGTGTCTGCTTTTATATTTGGTCTAGGATTAATATTTGCTGGTAAGGAAAATCTATTTGTTGGCTTCTGCTATTTATACTTTGATTTGCACTTAAGTTGATTTTTTTTTGCACTTAACTGCGAATTAGAATAGAAACGGTATAAAAAGCACACAAACATACTGACAGTACAGTATATTGTTATGGGTCAATGATCCTAATATTCGGCACAAATTCAATTTCCCCCTTCTGGCTGTTCTTTCTATGAATGAATTATGAAGAAGCACCATGCGTCCATGCGTGTTTCCTCATCAGTTAGCAACGATACATTTCATTGCACAACAATAGTCTATCAGGCTTTTTGGCTAAAAATAGAGAATCACGGTTTAATTAGGTATTATTAGATTATTTTAAATAAAATAAAAAAACATGATTTATATTTATGTGGAATTTGCAAACAATGTAATAAGACTTTTATAGGAACTTCAAACAACAAATATAAACATTTATTATTTAAAGAGCCCATATTATACATGAAATAGGGTCATATCCTGGTTGTAAGGGTCTCCAACAACAGTCTAATATGCATGCAAGGTCAAAAAACACTTTCATGGTCTTATAATCTGCATTTATTTTTAGCTAATTATCCCAGCGACTCCTGTATGAATCGTCCAGTGATTCATTTGTTCCCAAACCCCTCCTTAGCGCGGAGCTAATCTGCGCTGATTGGACCGATGACAGTCTGTCGCGATTGGTCGACTGCCTTCAGTCAGAGAGGGAAATGGCCAATAGCTAATCAGCAATTTAAAAAGTAATCACAGTTCATACACGCTCGATAGTGTAGACGTGGATTTTAGCTGCCACACTATGGCGAGTGGATAGTGCCACGGATAACCGAACGAAGGAGACAGTCGTGTACTCGCCATACCACACACACACAAAAACACACACACACCTCCGGATGACAACGCTCCCGCTTCCGCCCGCACCCGCCAGGTTTTAGCCTGAGAACCCGCTCCGTTTTCTGCCCGCCGCGCCCGGTCCCGCTAGAGCGGAGAACACAACCAAAAATCACCCAGTATACAGTCCAGACAGCCAAGCTGTCTGTATAAACACACACACACAGCACAAAGCTCGTTCGTTCGTTCGTTCGCTCTCTCTCTCTCTCTCTCTCTCTCTCTCTCGCTCTCTCTCATACGCGCGCGTGCGCACTAACACACACACACAAGCACCACGCAGACTCTCTCTTTCTAATTCGCATAGCAATATCCGTGATATTGCTAGACAGCCCGCTCCCGTCCCAAATTAAACCCGTTACCGACCGCTCCCGCGATTTATTCGGAAATTTATAATATAATAAATTTCCGAATAAATCGCGGGAGCAGAACTCTAGCACGGAGCTCCATAAACAAACAGCACGCGTCGCGTTTTTAACGTGACTTTGCACGCGACAAGATAATATATCCAGTTAACCTGATACAGTACACGCGGTTACAAGTAACAAATCACAACTAAATACATTTGCAAGCTCGAGTAAACGAGGCAACAACTTTAACCGCACGTACTTACACTTGAGAAATGGAAGAAACCCATCCTGACGTCCATCAGTTACTCTTTACTGATCCTTCCTTTAACAAACTCAGATGAAGTATTCTTTGTAGCATGTAGCTTCCAGAAGTTTCCAACTGCTTGGTTATAATGCTGATGTTTCATCTTTGGGTAGAGACTCAATATAATGTCCATCTGCAGTGTTACTTCAATCGACCGGCATGTTTGTGTGCGTGTTGTTGTGGGTGTGCGTGTGTTTGTGGGTGTGTGTGTGTGTCTGGGTTTCTGCGTCAGAGGGCGGGGCCTCAGGTTTGAAATCTCCCGGGTTTGCGCGTGCACGTGAATAACTTGGTTTCGTTCGTACGTCATGGCGAAACGCCTATTGAGTCGGTATCAAGGCGACTCGTTTGAAGCACTATGAGTCGACTCTTTTATAGATGAATCAACCGTTTTAAACACTGTATTCTTACAGATTTAAGCCTTAGCTGGATACTTCACTTCACTTAGAGCTGTGTTACACACTACATGGAGGGGAATTTTCAAAAACCCATAATATGGGCTCTTTAAACCTAATAAATTCAGTAAATCCATAGAATTTCAGTTATTTAGTTATTTTTGACAATGATTAATTGCTTCTTATATGGCTAGAGCGCACCTCACATTATTGACTTAACCTAAACCTGTTTATATTGAACTTTGACATCCACTATTATAATCAGGCTTGAATTACATTCTGCACAGGTCAAAGGACTAATCTAGTAAAATATCTGGGATTAGCCATTCAAGTGCTGCCACTGGCACAAAGACAAAATGGGGGAAGGGGTCACATTTTATAGTCACTGCTGCTGCTATCTGTGAGAAACAGGCGCACACAACATAAACATATCATAGGCCAAAATGCTGACATTGTACATTGGCACCCAGAACCGAAGATCTGATCCAAGCTTCCATGTTAAATCATTCCATGTGGATTACAGTGAAATGATCAGCGAACATACCATTGCTTTACAAATGTTTCATCTCTAGACAATCTGATGCTGTTTTGACTGTTGCGTACAACAAATATCATTACACCAATCAAAAACTCAGTCATTAATTATGTTTATCTCCTTGTAATCCAACAGATGTTCCAGTTTGACCGCTTTCTTAATGCAGACAGGACAGAGAAGAAGGACTTTTTTAAGAATGGGGCAAGGGTGAAATATCCCTCTGTGCCCTGGGGAACCGAAGATAACCTCTGTCCAGGACGCCATTTTGCAGTTCATGCAATTAAAGAGTGAGTATGGTTTCAAACATCGAAACAAGTTTGTGGGCAAAATCCAATCATTTCAATTGGAATCGAGTTTTGTTGGAGGAAAAGTTTAACTTGGCCATTCAGATTCAATATGTCAACTAGCAGATATACAGTACGTATATACAGTACATTGCTACTATACCAACACTGATTAATAGCACTTGTTTGGGCTCATTTACACCAGGCATTAAGATTTTAGTTTTTTGTCAATCCAGTGTCAAGAGGTTGATGGTAAATACAGATGCAAATAGGCATGAGCGGTATAAGATTCTGATAGTATGATAACCTTGAATAGAAATATCGCAGTATCATGGTATTGTTCTAACTATTGTAATAACTGGTGTTTGAACACAATATGTTTATTTTAAAAATATTTTGGGAGCAGTAAACATGTCAGACTTAATAATTCAAATAAATTATTGACTTCTGCTGTCTTCATTAGTTTCAAAAACAGATTTCATTACCATTTAAAATGGTGTCTTTGGATATCTTTTCTGCTGGAGATACTGTTGTCCTGAAAAACAAACAAAAAAAAGTAAATAAAAAAATCTTACACATACCTTAGGAATGAAATCACAGAAATATTTGGGGGTCTTAAAACCTTGACTTTTCCAAATCGCAGTATACCTTGAAAACAGTTATCATCCCATGCCTAGATGTGAATGTGTGTGTTTTTTTCTTTCTAACACATCCAGCGTTAGTTAAAAATGCATTTAATCACATTGTTTTATAGTATAAGCACCGATGTAGTCAAATCCACTCAAACAGCAACAAATTACCAACTACTGACTGAAAATTACCAAAATGTAAGAGATTTTTACCAAAACAAGGCATTCAAATGAGCTGTAAATATAACAAAATGAAAGGTATATCAAAATCCAAACGAACATAGACAAAAGATTTACTAAATGTATGTTTGGGGGTGGCACAGAAAGTAGCGCTGTCACCTCACAGCAAGAAGGTCGCTGGTTCGAGCAATAAAACAAAGAAATAAGCATTACGTTAAATTCAAAATGACGATCTCTGTCAAAGGCATACACACACACCACCTCCCCATTATACTCCCTCTCTTTTAGATGTGATGGCGGGCCAAATCAAAGGCTACCATGGGCCCTACTTTGGGCATCTTTGGTCTAAATATTACTGTTATCATTTTAGGGATTCTCAACTGAACCTGCAACATACTACATTGTACATTTTAAATTATATGAAATCAAAACTTGGCAGCACGGTGGCTCAGTGGGTAGCACAATCGCTTTACAGCAGGAAGTTCACTGGTTCAAGCCCCAGCTGGGTCAGTTGGCATTTCTCTGTGGAGTTTGCGTGTTCTCCCCATGTTGGCGTGGGTTCCCATTAGGTGCTCCATTTTCCCCCACAAGTCCAAAGACATGAAAATAGGTGAATTTGGTAAGCTAAATTGTCTGCAGTGTATGTGTGTATTTTCCTGGTCCTCTAGGTTGGGGGTTAAGCATTGGGCTGGGCGATTAATCGAAAAGTAATCAATATTGACATTCAGAAACTTAATCGATCTAATTTTTCCAGGACAATTTTTAAAATTACTTCCCTTACGTGTCCCTGTACAGTTAAAGGCTGTGGCTGATTTCTACTTCTTTGGCCACTTTGCAGCCACATCTGATCTCTGATCAAGTAGAACAATGGACTCTTGAGCCTTACATTGCTCTTCCCTGACAATGATTGAAAGCTGTCAGAGATGCCTTGAAATAGCATATTATCCATTGCATTTCATTTTTATTTACATTAAAATATTTGTTTACAGAAGTAATTCTATTTAGAGAAGATCCTCCTTATTTTATACTTTTAATATAAACAAAACTGAAAATCATTGATTTTGTTTCCAAAAGTGCAAGTTATTTATTTTCACTTTCTTATAAGAAAAAAGTGACTGTTGGTTTTAAGTAGTGTATTTTAATTTCAGTTGATCAATGTTGATGTACAATAAATAATCATTGATAGTAGTGTGTGTTTCCTTCATTATTTTAAAATCAAGTGGTGCACCCTTCATTCAGAAATCTCTCAATTGTAATATGCTAAGCAGGGCTGAGCTTAGTCAGTACCTGGATGGGAGACCACATGAGAAGACTAGGTTGCTGTTGGAAGTGGTGTTAGTGAGGCCAGCAGGGGGTGCTCAACCTGTGGTCTGTGTGAATCCTAATGCCCCAGTAGAGTGAAGGGGACACTATACCGTCAGTGAGCGCCATCTTTCGATGAGACGATAAACTGAGATTCTGACTCTCTGTAGTCATTAAAAATCCCACTTCTCGTAAAGAGTAGGAGTGTAAAAGGCATCCGCTGCATAAAAAATTGCCGGAATAGTTGGCAGTTCATTCCGCTTTGGTGACCCCTGATAAATAAAGGAACTAAGCCGAAGGAAAATGAATGAATGGTCAACTATAATAACATTTGGAATTATTTTGTCATTTTCTAATCTCTTTAGGCTTGTGTTCACCATCCTGACTCGATTTGATGTTGAACTGTGTGACAAGAATGCAACGGTGCCATTGGTGGATCCCAGTCGATATGGCTTTGGCATTCTCCAACCAGCGGGTGATCTAGAGATACGCTACAGAATAAGATTTTGACAGCGGTAATATGCCAAACCTGATTAATAAAAATACTAATAATTATTATTATTTACAACTGTACAGATAACAACAAGCCTTTTTTGAGTGCATGCTGCGTGCTATTTGCAGAAATAAATATTGTATTTAATAAATAAATATTGTTTTTTAATAAACTCTAGTTTAGTCAATCATTGTCTCTCTGGATCTCATTAAGGTTTTCTGAAGAATTCTCTAGAACATGTATAAGCATCAGCTTTTGATTTTCCATCAAAGATGTCCCTCTTTACATTCTTCTGTTTTGGGGCAGCACGCTGGACGTTCTTCCCGTGTTGGCGTGGGTTTCCTCCGGGCGCTCTGGTTTACCCCACAGTCCAATGACATGCACTATCGGTGAATTGAATAAACTAAATTGGCCATAGTGTATGTGTGTGCATATGAGGGTGTACAGATGTTTCCCAGACTGGGTTGCAGCTGGAAGGGCATCTGCTGTGTAAAACATATGCTGGATAGGTTGGCGGTTCATTCCGCTGTGGCGACCCCTGGTGAATAAAGACTAAGCTGAAGGAAAATGAATGATTTTGTTTTCTCATTTAATGCACTTTTAACTTCATAACATGCTTTAAATTACTTCTATGGTCGTATTCTTTGTTTGTCAAAGACAAAAGTTAGAATACTACTACAGCAAATGGTCACATTACATGCATGCCTGCTTTGTTATACAACAAAGTTAAAGCTTCGATCTGTCTACAGTGTTTTGACTAGGTTAAAGGAACATAGGTCACCCCAGGGCAAAACGCATTTGGATTTTTTTTCTCAAAACACTGCAGCAACGAGCACCACCTCATGACTGTCCTAACCACTTGTTTCCTGAAAGATATTATTTAAAAAAAGTTATGCATACTAACCAATGTTTTGAATTCATATAATGTAAAATGTATAATAAAGTATGTTGGTGATTTAAACGAGAATCCCTAAAATGATAACAGTAACGTTTAGAGAAATCATTTCAAACCTAAAAAATACATTTATAAGTTTATCATAACCAGTTATTCTAGGTTACTACTGCACACACTACCAGTCACAAGTCTGGGGTCAGTAGGATTTTAAAATGTTAAAAATTTAAAAGCTTATCCTGCTCACAAATGCTGCATTTATTTAATCTAAAATACAGCACAAATTGTAAAATTGTGAAATGTTATTTTGCTATAAAAAAAAAACTGTCCAAAAGTAGTTTATCATTTTTTTTTATCATTTACTCCAATCTTCAGAGACACATGATCCTTCAGAAATCACTCTAATATTTATTATTATTATTAATAGTATCATCATTAAATATAATAGTAATAAAAGCAATTATGACTGGAGTAATAATTTCATTTAAAACTACATACAATGAGTAAGCAGTTATTTAATTTTTATTTTATAAATACTTAATTATTTTACATTATATAAATGTCGCCTTGATGAACAGAACCATTTTCTAAAAAAAAAAACAAAAAAAAACTCCAAACTTGACCAGTAGTGTACATCTACATTTTAAAAAACGTTTAGAAACCATTTTCAATCTGAAGTTGATTGTAAGTTTTGTAATTACAATGAAATGTAATAAATCAACCCTCTCCACAGTTAATTAATTGTTTAATGTGCAAGTCTCACATTTTGACAGTTTGCTTAGATTTATTACACTGTAAAACCCAGAAAGTTAAGGCAACTCAAACCACTTGAGGAAAATAATTGCAACAAACCATTTAAGTTCAAAAACTGATCCTAATGAGTACTGTGAACTTAATCCATTTGAGTAAACAAAGCAATTTGAGCACAGTTAAACCCAAAAAATGAAGAGAACAATTCAGTTGAGTACTGTAAAACCTAATAAGTTAAGGCAACACAAACCATTTGAGAAAACCAATTGCCACAATCCATTGAGGATTAAAAACATCCATGAGTTTAAAAAATGTATCTACATGAGTACTGTAAACTTACTCCATTTAAGCTAAAGTGATGAGGTATTTAATTAACTTATTACCTTCAACACCAAGTTCAAAACTCTTTTCAAATGAGTAGAATTAACTTTTTAGTAAATTTTAAGTAAACTACACTTATTTCATTTGATGAAGATGACTGTTGGGGTTCCAGTGTAGATCCTTCTTTGATTTTCTTACAGTTTAAAGTAAATCATCTGTTGTGTAATGTAAGGTATGTGTAAGGTATGTGTAAGGTATGTGTAAGGTAATGTTGTGTAAGGTATGTGTTAGTAATCATGTTTCAGGAAATATACATTTTATATAAAACTTGCACTTTTCATAACTTAGAATGTAATAATCTTTCTAGTGTCTGAAATAGAGACGTCTCACAACTTGCATCTGTTCCTTAAAAGATTTAAGATGCCGCCAAATGAAATTTTCAGGTATAAATAAATAATAACTGTTGCATAAACATAATTTACTATCATAAATATTAATACCATAAAATGTTACATAAAATAATTCATTCATTCATTTTCCTTCGTCTTAGTCCCTTTATTTATCAAGGGTCGCCACAGCGGAATGAACCACCAACTTATCCAGCACGTTTTAAGCAGCGGAAATGAAACAATTCTGATACTAAAATTAAAAAGTATACAGTATTATGTTTTTACTTCTATGAAAGGGGCACCTGATCTGATTATAAAACTGTCTCAACAGATCATGAAGGTAAATCAGGATAGATTATTTGCTCTGTTGGCTCAAATTTAATAGAAGGTCTTCTCAAATGTGATGATTGGAGACCAAAGAGCATCTCAGTACAGCTGCTGTGATTCATCACGGCGAAATATTAAATCAATCTCACACATTCAAGGAGCTGCAGCGACGCCTGAACCGAGGCTGCTTCAGACCTGCTCCAAGGAGCTGATGCCGTCCTCCCTAACGCATATCAAATAAAGCAGGGATATAGTTTTCAGCATTGCCCTCTCTTCAGGCGCCATTTTCACACAGGTTACTCGTAACGACACAGAAGGAGCTGCTCCAAGAGCCTCTCGGTGCGGGTGGCAAAAGGGTTAAACGCGCCGTCTCTCTGCCATTGGGCGGCGAGACTATGGAGATCCTGCCATCTGCAAGGAAAGCAGCTGTCGACTTCACGCAAGACACGTTAGATAGCAGTGAATGAAAACAGCGTGGATTCGCCCCAAGACTTGTTGATCTTTTTTTTCCACGAGAAACGAGCGGAGCGGTATGTGTTTGTGTGGAGGAGACGCACGAGCTGCTGTGCGCCGGCTGTGTTTGAACTGTGACGTCCTTGCGCTTTCTTCCATTTAAACGCTTTATTTCACGCCGCTGTCAGCAATGAGTCTCCACAAATTAAGGTGGGCATTTGTGTAGCTTTGCTTTTAAATATATGCAGTTTTAAATCTGTTTATCGCGTGGTTAAGTGATATAAATCGAATTGGAAATTTCTGAAAAGTGTGATATGATCTGCAAATTAGCTATACGCTTGTTCTAAACACTATTTTCGCACAGTTTCTGTGCACTACACAAACATCTACAGCTGCCATTGGGATATTGTTTTGTGGCGTCTGAAGATGTTTTTTTTTCTGTGCATGATGTAGGATCAATACTGGTTGCCACTCCTACAGCGTTTAAATAATTTTAATGTCTAGCGATGACACTTTGCTATGATGTCTGGACTTAAACCTCTGTTATACACCCAGAATATTCTAGTATAGCGTCACTTTTTCTACTGGATGATGCATGAAAATCATATTATAAGCACAACTGCATTGACACATTGATGCCAGTGATGACTGCCTGATGCGATTAATAGTATTATATGCCAAAAAAGACGCGCGATGCTTATTAAAACCTATTTTAATTAGCTTAGCGGTGTGTGATACAGTTTAAGCCGACATGTCCATCATGTCATTATGTTTTCCTGCTGTTTCGCATGTTGTTGTTGCTGCAGCAGCAGCTGTACGGTTGGGCTCCAGCCGACGTTACACTTAACTCTTTAGTTACAAGGTATTGAAATTCAATATAACCTTTTAATCTTTTACTGAATAGGTAATGGAGTCTTTCTATAAACTGCGGGGAGTTCTCAAACCGCAGAGGTACTGAAATGATGTTGATTATTATTAGCCGGTTGCTTTCAGAGGATTACAGGTGGAGCGCGCGCGTTTCAGTATCTTATATTTGAAGTCAAATGTTTTTGTTATGGTTTGGGAGTTTCAAGAGACGAACAGGCGTTTAACTTCGACAGATATTTCCCTTCAGGAAAGCAGCAGGCGATTCAGCACCACGCCAGTGGACAGCGACATATCGGGCTTAGGGACTCGTAAGGAATTGAATGTGTGTGATTCATCTTAACGATTCCGATTCCTTTAACAGCTCCATGAATGACGCTTCTTTGACTTTAATTTCAATTAGTAGCTCAATATTGGGTCCCACTTTATGTTGATGGTCCGTTTGTTGAATTTAAGTTACATTGCATGTACATGCCAACTAATTATCATTAGATGATAAGTAGATTGGTAGGTTGGGGTAAGGTTTAGTCTAAGTTGACATGAACCTTATAGTCAGTTAAATGTCTGTTGAAGGAGCAGTATCAGCAGATATTAAGCAGTTTGCTAATACTCAAATGGACCATCTAAATAGTGTTACCCAATATTATAAAAAGTCGTATTGCACTTCCTGCGTTAAATCAAATCAAAAATTGTTGTAATATCAGGATATTTTCAATGTAATACATAATTTAATTTAATGTAGTGTTCCTTTTTTAAAAAGTGGGTTTGGTCCCTCAGTATAGGCATATTTCTAATAGGCTATAGTCCAGTTTACACAGACATTTAATGACTTTTCACATTAAAATGAGGACAGACAAGTTACTAGATTATCGCTGTACGTTTTGGATTCATTGAAAAGTGACTAAGTCAGATCAATGCAAAAGAAATTGCTAAATTCGCTTAGGGTCTAAACTATACTGGTTCAATTCCTAACCCTTAAATCCTAACTAGCATATTGATTCGGTTCTGCTAGTTTTGCTGTTAAAAAAAAATCTTCTGCTAGTTTGATTAAGAATCAATTATTATTAGTAGTAGTAGTGGTAACAATAGATTTGAGATAATATATTGTAATGTAGTTTATAGTTGCATAGTTATAAAACTTAGCAGAGCACCTAAAGAGGCCATATAAGAATCTTAGTAACCATATTTTTTTATTGCCAACATGTGGACAGCTTCTAACAAAACTTAAATGAGACCTTCTTGTTCTTTATGAACTTAATTACGAAAACCTATTGATTGATTTTTATATAAGGGATTCAGGATGTTTTTGCATTGAAAATCAATGTGATGTTAACGTGCACTCCTGTGGACCTTTCTTCTGCTCTATGACACATGAAACGAATGCTTATAATGCTCAGTATAATGCCAAAAGAGCTATTCAGCACTGTAAAAGTCAAATACGTCACACACAAAAATTCATATTATGATATCACATGATTCAATTTATAGGTCATAATCTCAAATATAGTTCATAATCAACCTATCGTAACTGTTATTTTAATTATGTCATTCAATTCAATTTCAATTCATCTCATTCTATAGCGCTTATAAATGTGGATTGTCAAAGCAGCTTAACATAGAAGTTCTAGTAAACTGAAACTGCTTAAACCCAGATTTCCGAGTTGAAATCTGATGTTCAACAGTGAACTGCAGAGTTTGTGCAAACACATCCACATTGTTATGATCAGATGCTTTTATAACTGCTTTCATCTCATCACAGTCATTTTAGAGGTGTGTTTATTTTGTTATTGAGAGGAAAGAGCACACAGCACAGCACATATTTACATTTATCTACACACTGCTCTCAGCAGCAGGAACAGCATCTAGATGGTCTGATTCAGAATGTAGTTTCTAAGGTGTTTTGCAGTAACTTTTATTTCTAATCAAAGAACAAAAAAGAAGTTTGTGAGAAACATTTCATTTAACTTTCTTTGTTTTGCTGAGAAATTCTGTTTGTTAACTTAATAATTCTGTGTTTGGTAAAGCGCTTACTTATTAAATGTTTTAATAAGCTTCATGGCCCTGTTTGACTCAACTTTAAAGTCTTATAAGAGTTTAATATCTGCCTGTGAGGTGAGGTTTATAGGGATTTTGAGTTGGTATTAATGAACTCAAATGTTTTGAAAATGAATTTTATATGACAACTAAATTAGAAAGCAAGCTAAAAATGATGAACAATGCAAATAAAATACATTTATTCATCTGTGTGTAATAGAACAAATGAACACTAAATGCAGTAATTTATAGTAGAGCTAATAGGCCATTTTAAAATGAATGCATAAAATAAAGTTTACTTATTAAAGCTTTTACTTCCAATACTGTATATAAAGTGTTTTAGTAAACATCTGCAAATATCTATCTAGATTAGCAGGATAAACCAGGTTTGATTTCATGACTTGAAGTTAATATTAATTCAACTATTATGCGTGTACGTATATTATGTAATTAACGACATGCATCGCACAAATGTAAGATTGTCAAGACATAAGAATTTCACAGAACATGTTCATGCATTAGAGAAATGAGTATTGCAATAACTCATTCTGAAAACGTACCCCTACTGTATATACATTTCTGGAAAATGCCAAATACATCCCAGGAGCTATGCTTTTTTTGCAGTTTTTGTTCCCGCGAATCCACTAGAGCCCGCTGTTTACGCTTTTTAAGATCTCTAATTTCCCTTGCGATTGCCATTAGTGTCAGCTGTTCTCGCGTAAATCCAGAAATAGAAAAGCCCTTGCCTAATCTTACCATGTTTTCAGATTTTACCACATTCTCACCCTGTTATTTACTTGTTTATTTTATCTTTTGGCTATTGTTTTTGTCTTACCCACTTTCTGGAACTGTTCTTCGCTTGACTCAAACCCCGTCGTAGTTGTTAGCTCCTCCCTGTGTCTCAAGTCCGTCAACGCACATGTCGAGATAACTGGACACACTGGTTACAGCGAGAAAGCTGTTCACATGGAGGCAATTGGTCAGCTGGTAAACCTGAAAGGAACAGACATACCGCCCGGTAGCGTTCATTTTAAAGATGAAATGCAGCCATACTTATGGCTACATAATTCGCAATCTTTAGAAACGTATATAGGGCTACGTTTTAGGAATGAGCCTGTGGTTCATATTCTATTAGTTTATTTGAATGATTTGAAATTACTAGTGCTGTCAAAACGATTAATAGGGATTAATTGCATCCACAATTATAGTTTGTATTTACATAATGTATGTGTACTACTCACTGTGTATATATATTAATAAAAATAAAGAAATACAAAACAAATTTTTACACATTTGTATCTAATTTGTATAGATACAAATTATTTTAGTATAGATATAATTGTATAGATATAAATATTTAATTTATAAATACACAATGGGCATCATGGTGACGCAGTGAGTAGCACAATCGCCTCACAGCAAAAAGGTCACTGGTTCGAGCCTCGGCTGGACTTATTCACTGTATAGGTGTGAATGAGTGTGTATGGATGTTTTCCATTGATGGGTTGCAGCTGGAAGGCCATTTGCTGCGAAAAATATATGCTGGAAAAGTTGGTGGTTCATTCCGCTGTGGCGACTCCTGATTAATAAAGGGACTAAGCTAAAAAGAAAATGAATGAATAAAATACACATGTTCTCAAATATATACATGTGTGTGTGTTTAAAAAATAAATTGTACGGGTTGTTTTGTTGGTGCCAATAGCCTAGTGGTTAAGTGCACTGACATATGGCACCATGGTTTTCATGGCGACCCGAGTTCGATTCCCGGCTAAATGTCCTTTGCCGATCCTACCCCTCTCTCTGCTCCCAGTGCTTTCCTGTCTGTAACCTCAACTGTCCTATCTCAATTAAAGGTGAAAAACCCCTAAAAAAACAATTATAAAATAAAATAAAAATTGACAAAATATAAAAAATAAACTCTTCAATACAAGGAAAAGACAACCAAGTAAACTTGTTTTTTCCTTTCTTCCTTGACAGCTCAAACAGAATGAAACAGCTCGGAAAACCACTATCCACACCGCCTGTCCCACGGCCAAACTCATAGTGTAGCCCTACACAAACACACAAGATGGAGAAACCCTCGGCAGGAATGAGTAAAGTTGGCTCTCGCTCGACAGCCTCTCTGCCCCCGGAGCCTGTGGATATAATCCGGAGTATGTCCTGCTACCGGCGTGTCAAACTGAACGTAGGTGGTCTGCCGCATGAGGTCCTGTGGAGAACCCTGGACCGACTGCCGCGCACGCGACTGGGCAAGCTGCGAGACTGCAAAACCCACGAATCCCTCATGGAAGTATGTGACGACTACAACCTGGAGGACAACGAGTACTTTTTTGACCGGCATCCCGGGGCCTTCACTTCCATACTGAACTTCTACCGCACTGGGAAGCTGCACATGATGGAGGAGATGTGCGCCCTGTCCTTCAGCCAGGAGCTGGACTACTGGGGAGTGGATGAGATCTACTTGGAGTCGTGCTGCCAGGCCAGATACCATCAAAAGAAGGAGCAGATGAACGAGGAGCTCAAGCGAGAAGCTGATACGCTGAAGGACCGAGAGGGTGAAGAATTCGATAATACGTGTTGTTCGGAGAAAAGGAAGAAATTATGGGATCTACTGGAGAAACCGGGATCGTCTGTAGCAGCCAAGGTAAACATCAGTATATACACTATAGCATCTTATCAGACTCAGACATAAACACACATTTAGGCCTTTAGAAGGTCGATAACTGGATGCATACAGTAGACTTGGAAAGAAAAGCAAATTATGATTATAATACTTTCTGGGAATAATAAATAATCAGACATGTATTATAAGTAGGGTTGTCACAATACCATTAATTCATATTTTGATCCTCTACCAGCTGAAGTATCACGATACCAAGTGGTATTGCAATACTGTACTTCACGACTGAAATTATAAAGAAAATTGTCAGAAATATTATATTTGAGATGTTATTATAGGCCTACTTGAATTTAATTCAAAATTCCCTTAAGCCCAAAAAGTATTATTTGCACCCCACTTCACCTAAAATTTATTCATAATTTTTTTGTGTGTTTTGTAGAAAACTGACCAACAAAAATACATTAGATAAAGATACAAATTATACCAACAAAATGAGGCTATATGAAGCGCTCAAAAATTGTTTCAATGTTTCCTGTTGTAACTTTGGGTGTTTCATGAATTTTTTTTTTCAGTGTTATCAGGTAACAATCCAAAGTAATTAAAAATTTGAGTTCTTTTTAAGAGATTTTCGCAGCTGCTGTAGCTATTATATCATATGAACAGGAACAGAAATGAACCGATTCAGATGTGCGTTCGAACTGAAGCGTTAGAAAATGTGCAATAGGCTACTATAAAGGGTGCGAATTCTACACAGGTTTGCAACCTTACAGGGCTCCACAATCTATATAAAATAAAATGGTCTATTGTTGCTTAAACATGGGAGTACTTAAGTGATTTTTCCACATGCAACATTATCTATTGTAGATAAACCATTAATGACGATACTACCGTTCACAAACTACAGTGGCACCGCCAGTGTTTTGGAGCCATAGTATCGCGATACTACCATAGCACCGGTAAACCATGCAACCCTACCAAGTAGTATTGCAATACTTTAATTCAAACCTAAAATTATAAAGAAAATTGTCAGAAATATTATACTTTAGAGGTTAAAATAGGCCTACTTGAATTTAATTCATAACTCCCTTAAGGCCAAAAAGTTTTATTTGCACCCCACTTCACCTACAATTTATTCACTATTTTTTTGTGTATTTTGTAGAAATCTGACCAACAAAAATACATAAGATAAAGATACAAATTATACCGACAAAATGAGGCTATATGAAGCGCTCAAAAATTGTTTCAATGTTTCCTGTTGTAACTTTGGGTGTTTCATGAATTTTTTTTTTCAGTGTTATCAGGTAACAATCCAAAGTAATTAAAAATTTGAGTTCTTTTTAAGAGATTTTCGCAGCTGCTGTAGCTATTAAATCATATGAACAGGAACAGAAATGAACCAATTCAGATGTGCGTTTGAACTGAAGCGTTAGAAAATGTGCAATAGGCTACTATAAAGGGTGCGAATTCTACACAGGTTTGCAACCTTACAGGGCTCCACAATCTATATGAAATAAAATGGTCTATTGTTGCTTAAACATGGGAGTACTTAAGTGACTTTTCCACATGCAACATTATCTATTGTAGATAAACCATTAATGACGATACTACCGTTCACAAACTACAGTGGCACCGCCAGTGTTTTGGAGCCATAGTATCGCGATACTACCATAGCACCGGTAAACCGTGCAACCCTACCAAGTAGTATTGCAATACTATAATTCAAACCTGAAATTATAAAGAAAATTGTCAGAAATATTATACTTTAGATGTTATTATAGGCCTTCTTGAATTTAATTCAAAATTCCCTTATGGCCAAAAAGTATTATTTACACCCCACTTCACCTACAATTGAATCATAATTTTTAGTGTATTTTGTAGATAACTGACCAACAAAAATACATTAGATAAAGATACAAATTATACCAAATACAATTTGTAACAAAAGAGCATTTTTTTCCAACAAAATTAGGCTGTATGAAGTAGTCAGGAATTGTTTCAATGTTTCCTGTTGCTATTTGGTTATTTCATCTATTTTATTTTTCAGTCTTCACGTATCCATCCAAAGTAATTCAAAATTTCACCGATTCAGATGTGCATTCGAACTGTAGCATTAGAAAATGTGCAATAGGCTACCATAAAGGGTGCGAATTCTACACAGGTTTGCAACCTTAAAGGGCTCCACAGACTTAAAATAAAATGGTCTATTGTTATTGTTATATGTTGCCATAGTATCGCGATACTACCATAGTATCCCGTGCAACCCTATTTATAAGTGGTGGAAATTACAACACAACCTCATGGCAATACGTAACTGATTTAGTGGCTAATTCATATGAATTCATACAATCTCATTGTCCCTGTATCTGTGATAACACTCAGTAAACAGCGATGAGTTCAGTGAACTGATGACCTTCACGGCCAATCACAGTAATTTCTGTTGAGCATGTGAACACAATGGCAAATCAGCGCTGTTTAAGAACGTGCACCACATCACTCAAATGTTAGCAGGAAATTTCAGTACCGATTGGATCAAATTCCAGTATCGTGACAGGCCTAAAATAGCTTAGGTCAAAAGTAATCTGAAAGTAATCAAAAGAGTTAGTTACTGTAGAAGATTTACTTTTAACATTTTCTGGTTCAGTTGTGGGCTACAAATCGTAAGCAATCCAACTAGCACTATGTATTATATACAACAGCCTTCAGCATTGCTTGTCAAATGTCTTCCATCTGCCAAGAAAAAAACTCCAATGTCCTCATAAGCATACATCAACACTCAATTACCTTAAAAGGGCAATGTAAAAAGTGCAGTTCAAGCCATTGGACTCGAACCAAATTGCTGCAGTTGCGTAATCAATCACAACTGAGTGGCACTCTCATGCTTCTCACATAATTCAACACATAGTACTTCCATGTAATCGTTCAGACTCAGAGCTTGCATGGGTCAATCACAAGTGCACACCTATAACGTCAAGGATGACATCTTGGGTCGTAAATCAATAAGAAAAGCATTGATAGAATGCCATTGCTAGAGATGTCTGTAAACTTTTTTGCTTCCCCTCTGTGTCGGCCATCTATTTTGCATGCTCTAATTCCTTAATTGTGTACCTGTGCTGATATGTAGTCACATGGGATTGGGAGGGACAGTTGAGTGCAAGACTGTCCTTGCAGTTACCAGGCAACAGAAAGATGACTCTATCGCTTTGAAAGGAAGCACTATAAGTCTTTAAAGGACAAAGTTAGTGTTTGAGGGTGTTTGAGTGGTTTATGGCTGAAGTGGACCGCTGTTTTGGCACATGTGCGCGTACTCGTGCTGCTTTTTTGACTTTTTCCTCTACCATCTCTCCCTCCCTCTTTTTTCAGGCTCCTTCACTGCACCTCTGGCTAAATGTCAGGGAAATGTCACATTAATTATCCTCCATGAGACTTTGTGTCCCATTCTGTTTGGAGCCCCCCTCCCCACCCCTCTGATTCTCAGTGGAACGGGCTCTGTCTACATCTGCCTCAAATCAGATTTCGCTGCATGGCTCTACCGCACAATAAGATTATGTCAGACCGTCGTCTTATCATTGCAAATTACCGCCTGGTCATATTTCAAAGCTAGACCTTTCCTGTGTTCCCTAGTCTTGCATAAACATGCTATTTAATGCATACTAATAGTGTTTTATTTAATAGCATTACGAGATAGGAAGTGTTAGTTTGCTTTATTCAAGCCTTTTGCTGAACGTTGTGACGCTTCGGTTGAGGTGTGAATGCTGAGCCAGTCAATGCTGTTTTTAATTAAATCATACATGCAGTTTATTATGCAATATATTCTGCCTTGATTCAGGGACATTTATCACGAGGACTGACGCACTGTAATGTAAATCTAGATTGTGAATCTATGGTCTATGAATTTAAAAGACGCATCATCACTATGTAAAGATAAAATACGTGATCCATTAATGATTTATTTTAATTAGTTAATTTAATTATAAAAAGAGCAGAATAAAACATTTTAGACAAGAGGTTCTCTAATAGTCAAAATTATTAATTTAAAACTTCCTTTCAGAGGACGCCACAGTGGAATGAACCACTAACTATTTCAGCATATGTTTTATGCAACGGATAGACTTCCAGCTGTAACCCAGTACTGGGAAACACTGATACAGTCTCATTTACACGCACTCATAAACTGCAGCCAATTCAGTTTATTCAATTAACCTGTGTGGGAAACCGGAGCACGCTGAGGAAACCCAAGCAAACATGGGGAAAACACGCAACTGGTCCAACTCGAATCAGAGACCTTCTTGTTGTTTGGAGACAGTGCTAGTCACCGTGGCACCCCAGTCAAATAATAAGATTAGTCAAGATTAATTGACTAGAGTAACATATAGAAGCTTTATTTATAAAGATTTTTAATAATTTTTTTATATTTTGTTGTTATTCTTTTTTTACTTACCAATTATTAATTTTTATTTTAAGAAATGGCTAAAACTAATTTTATATTATTTTTTAAATGTTAAAACGAGTAATTAGTATGTACTAGGGGCTGCACGGTCGTGCAGTGGGTAGCACGATCACCTCACAGCCAGAAGGTCACTGTTTTAAGACCCAGATGAATCAGTTGGCATTTCTGTGTAGAGTTTGCATTTTCTCCATGTTGCGTGGGTTTCCTTCGGGTGCCACGGTTTCCCCTACAGTCCAAACACATGCGGATAGGTGATTTGGGTAAGCTAAACTGTACATGGTGCATGTGTGTGATTGAGAGTGTATGGGTGTTTACCAGTGATAAATTGCAACTGGAAGGACATCCACTGCGTAAAACATATGCTGGATAAATTGGGGGTTCATTCTGCAGTGGTGACCCTAGATTAATAAAGGAACTAAGCCAAAAAGAAAATGTATGCATGAATGTATATTGAACTTACAGTAAAAAATAAAAATAAAATAAATAACAGAATGGAGTTATACTAGTTAAGCTGCATTGTCCTGTATTCGATGAGTGTCAGTATTTATTCATTCATTTTCATTTCGGCTTAGTCCCT